GGTTGCAGCGGGTATCGCTCTGAAGCCTCTGCTGTTGGTTGGCTAGGGGGTTGGGTCTGTGCTTCCTGTCTGCGACCCAGCACCTGGGCTACAATGCTTTCGCTTACTAGGGTCAGGTACCCCTTGGGGGGATGGCCCAATAAATTGCACCCGTTGGGGGTAGGCAGTTCTTCATGAGAACGAAAGGGCTGCTCGCAGCACCTCAGGGGGACTAAGGGTGACACCTGTGCGTCTGGGTACCGTAAAGGTCTCCCGGTGCGGGTTGCTCTTAGCCATTGGCCCTGGGATGAGGTGGGTTGGTACCTCCGGTCTTGAGCTGAAATGCCAATTGCCCTACCTCGAACATGTCCAATTTTTATATAAAAAAAAAGAAACTGCGAATGGCCTGATGTCCAAGTGGTTAGGACAGCGACTGGAAATGCGCACTGTGGTATAAGGTCATGGGTTCAAAACTCACGGCCTGTGAGCTTTCCTTCGTTTCGCGCTTTCATAGCGCCAGGCCATTCGCACACACCCCCTTGGGACGACGCAAGGTAAGTTTATACAGACATTGCCTGCGCACCGCCCAAGTGGTAGGTCCACGGTGTAGTATGCTGGACAGGGCCATAGGGAGGGCCTTTGTGCTCGATTTGGGGGGAGGTCCGAGAACCAGGGTCTTGTCTTGGCTCCACTGTGGGCCATAAGGGGGGGGGGGGGGGGGGGGGGGGGGGGGGGATATGGGGAGGATAGGTGATAGGGGGTGTGTCTTGTACGTACCTGTACTTAGTCGCAGTCATCTGTATTCGTACCTGCACACAGATGCAATTGCCTGTGACCCTATCTGCACGTTGTCGCGATTATCTGTGATCCTATCCGCACGTGGCTTGCGATTATCTGTGATTCTATCTGCACGTGGCTCGTAACAGTAGGTACCTCTGTGTGGCCACTTGAACCCTGTCGTTCGGCGAGTTCGGCAGTGTGTACTAGTATGTAGGATATTACGGTAGTAGTTGGGTACCGTTACGTGTTTCCCGTCACCAGTGATATCCCGCAGGAGTCCATGTGCCTTGAGGGCAGTGGTTGGTGCCCACCTTAAGGTATTAGTTCCGAACCTGACTACGGCAGGGTCCATTTCGAGGGGAAGCAAACCACACACAATTAGGGGGTAGTATAGGATGGTCCTTAGGTACTTTCATCCCACAGGTATCCTTGACGCCTGGGGGCCGCACTTCATCCAGGTTGGGGGCCTCTCGTGGAATACTCGCTGACGGAACAGTATGTGGTGGTAGTGTCCCCAAGGGATTGTGATAGGTTGGCACCATAGTTAGAGGGGGTAGGTCGGGGTTGTCGCATCTAAGTAGAAAGCGCAGTTCGTTGTCTAGAGTCCGTTGGGGTGTGGTACGGGCTAAGGAATGACCGCGCTATGTGGGACCTGGCCTGCACCCGGGTTGTCCTTGACCGTAGGGTTAGGGTAGTATCTGCATTAGCGTTCGGGCGTAGTCCGGTAAGCGCAGGCGCAGATCGCAAGTTGTGATCTTGCAAATCCATCAGGCCTCCCAATGAATGAGTACCGGGGCTCTCCCTGAGGCCTAGTTGCCACCCTCTACTACACCCTGGACCTTTTTTATAACAGGAAAAAAAAAAAAAAAAAAAAAAAAAAACTGCGAATGGCTCATT